CACCGAGCCCGGCTCAGGGTTGTTAATGGTGGTGCCTGACACATAGTAGGCACTCCATAAATAATTAACTGAAGGAAAGGCCCACCTATGGAGAGACTTGAATGTCAGTGGAAGAATCCTGGCCCCGAGGCCTTGAGTCAGGTGCTTGAGTATATTCAGGAGGGGCCCCAAAGCCTTGTGATTCTAAGTTCTCAGTGCAGATTGAGTGCTGTGCTGAGTGCCTCCATTCCTATTCGGCACTGATGGCCCTTTCCAAGTTTCCAGACCTCAGTTTCCCTGGAAGAGGGGAGCTGACAGCTGCAGATAATGGAAACACCAATCTGAAGTGGTTCGTGTGAGGTTACCTCACCCTATCTCCTGACTAAAAAAACGGGATTCTAGCCCTCAATCCACTCTTCACTCAATACTAGGCCTGGGTGACCTTGGGGAATTCAATTTTTCCTTTTGTAAAATGAGAAGTGTTTTTCCAGACCCTCTCTCCCTCTCAAGGGAAAAAATAATATAGTCACAGGGAAACACCAGCCATTCCTGAGGTTTAATCACCAAGTTTGTAACCTATTGTAAGTAGGGCCAAGATTTGCTACTTTAGGGATTCTATTTATAAAGCATTTGCTGTAAAATGGTTTCTCTAAGTAGAAAACTCCCTAGGGGCATATTAAATAGGATTTAATTATTAAAAAGGATCTGAGGGTTAGGAGGGGGTTTGGAGGCCATGGCAGCAACTCCTGGACTGAGTCTGAATGTTCAGGTCATGGTGAGTGGCCACTTCATTCCTGTGAGAGGATGCAGAGACCCTCTGACATTCTGTGGTTCAATTCAATAGACCTTCTCTGACCCCGCCTACTATATGATAGTTCCTTACTGTGAGCTAGGGAAACTGAAACAAACATGAGGTCCAAAATCTGGCCTGTGGAGCTTCAGGTCTGATAGGAAAGGAAAAAGATGTGCGTAGACAAAGAAATAAAACACAGGCTTTGGTGGAAATTGAGAGATCATGCTACAAACCCAAAGAGCCTTGGATTCTGAGCCCTTGGGCTGACCAGCCCTTGGGGAAGAAAGGGAGCACAGTGGTGTGGAACATGGCTCTGGATCTAGACTGCTTAGTAACCAACCCTTGTTGTGTGACTCTCTGTGACACAGTTTCCTTACCTATAAAATAAAGGTAATAATAGCACACCCTAATAGTCGAGTACTATTATAAGAATCAAATTAATTAATACATGTAACTCAGCCAGAGTCTAGCATATAGTAAGCAGTTCATGAATGTTAATTAGTGTTGTTATTGCTTAATAGAAAAATAGAGACCAGTCAGGTGCGGTGGCTCACGCCTATAATCCCAGCACTTTTGGAGGCAGAGGTGAGAGGATTGCCTGAGCCTACGGGTTTGAGACCAGCCTGGGCAACTTGGCAAGACCTCATCTCTACAATAAATCAAAAAATTAGCCAGGCATGGTGGCACGTGCCTGTA